GAGAATCTAATGTTTTTGAGTTGTCTATTCATGTGTGTGGGTGGTACCACCTGAAAGGCAGGAAGCCTGGAAAGAATAAAATGAAGAGGCAGACTACTGCTGCTGCTACCTGTTACTCACTGCTTGCTGCCTTGCTCCCTTCTGCCTGCCACACTATGGACTGTTTCTCTGCTGCAATGCCTTTCTGCCATGCCACCCTGCCTTAGAGCCATCCAACTATGGACTGAAAGATCTACAAACTCTAAAGTGAAATAAAACTTTCCTCCTTTAACTTTCAACATGGGGCATTTTGTCCCAGCAACAATAAAAGTAACTAAAATAATTTTGATTTTAGATCTGCTTCATTTTCTGCATGTTATATGCCAGTTTTTCTAGTGCTATTTGCTAAAGAGGCTATCTTTCTCACAGCATATGTTTAACACAATCCTGCATTTCAAGGTATTTTACAAAACTGCTGTGATAAGAACAGTATGACATTCATACAAAAACAGGCATGTGGGCCAATGGAATAGAATAGAGGATGCAGAAACAACCCCAGACACATTGAGTCACTTGTTAATCTTAACCAGTTAATCTTAACTGTCAATTTGACAAGGTTAAGAAACTCCTGGAGAGAAGACTGGATCGAAAAGGTACTATATTTATCAATGGATTAATCCATTTATGGTCATAACTGAAAGTGCTTTTAGGAGATCCATCGGGCTTAGTTGGAGGATGTGAATCACTGGGGGCATGACTTTGGATGATATGTCTCTTACTAGTGCTCTCTGCTATATTCTGCTTTCCTGGTCACCAAGACATGAACAGCTTTGCTCTGCCAAGCCTCCCTGCCCTGAGTTTTTGCTTTGAGTTCAGATGATCATGGATGAAGCCTCTAAAACTATGAGCCAAAATACACCTCTTCTCTTTTAAGCTATGTATGCTGGGTATTCCATCTCAGCAATGGGAAAGCTTACTAATATAAAAGATCAAAATTATATCTAGAATGATCTGAACTTCAGGAAAATTATGAAGCTAGCTAGTGTTTCTAGGAGGACAGAGAGTTCAGCACAAGGATAGAAACACGTGCATTGCCTAATTGTTTTATTCTGAGGAGATAAAGGTTGGATAAGTAGAAGATGTGTACATCTTCCTAAAAAAAAAAAATAGTCCTTTTCTCAATTCCTAAGCCAGTTCTCAGGCTCAGAACACATAGAAAGACCCTGAGACTCCATGATAAAATTTACTACAACACTGCAGAAATTACGTATTGTAGAGCTCATCCTAGCCCTTCATTCCATAAAGGGACTGAAACCCATTTCCACTTTTGTTTCTGGTACTTGGGACAGAGCTCAGGCATGCTATACCATTGAGCTACACCCCATCCCCCTTTTATTTTTTATTCTCATTTAGGGTCTCACTAAGTTGTCCATATCATATTTGAACTTGGGTTTCTCCTACTTCAGCCTCCCAAAGTTCTGGGATTATAGCCATGGGCATCACACATGGCTCACTTCTATTTCCCTAACTCTTTATTCTGTATATCTTGAAGAATAAGGGATATTGATATGTTTAAAAGGATATATTGAAGAAAAAGGGATACTAAAATCTTTTGAGATGTTGAATACAGATTTGGGTTGACATATATTCCAGGTACAGTGGACTCCTGCTTACAGTGACTCATTTGGCACCAGTATCCAATGATTTATAAAACATCTACTCAACTGGTGCAGATTCTTTTTTTTTTTTTTTTTTTTGGTACTGGGGATAAAACTCAGAACCTTGCTCTTTCAAGGCAGGAATGGTGCCACTGAGGTAAATCCCCTACCCAGGTATGAATTCTTGTATAATACTGCAGCAGACTGAGGCAAGTAGGCCTTAGGTATATGAATAGGAGCTGTCCTACTTCTATACTACAGTAGGCCAGAAGCTGATAGCCTTAAAGAGGAAAGTGAGGAATAAGGAGCCTCTTAAATGCATAGTTAAGGTGCTAACTTGAAAAAAAAGTCCTGGTGTCTTAGTCACTTTCTCATGGTGGACAAAATACCTGACACCTGTAAGTTAAAGGAGGAAAGGTTTATTTTTTTGCTCAGTTTGTAGAGGTTTCAGCCTATAGTCACCTGTCTACAATTCTGTGCAGCATAGCAGAAGGGCATCATAGAGGAGAAATAGTCCTTAGCATGGCAAGTAGGAAAAAACAGCAAGACTTTCTTCTTTCCCTTTTTATTACATCCAAGCTGCAAACCTATTTGTTGTCACCACACCCAGAACTATGCTAAACCAGTCAAGTATCATACACCCATGATCCAGCCAGTCACCTCCTAATAACCCTATCTATCAGTGCATGAGGCTTTGGGGAGGAATATAAATATAAGAAATAACATTCTGCCTCTGACCCCCAGAAGACTCATGTGCATTCCTTTATGCAAAATGCATTCAGTCCATCTCTAAGAGTTACAAAAGTCCTCATAGTTTCAGCATTGCAGTAAAGTCCAAGACCAAATTCTCCTCTGAAACTTAAGACAAACTTTTATCTGTGAGCTCCTGTACAAATGAAAAGAAAATTACACATTTCCAACCTACAATGGGACAAGATGAACATTCCCACTCCAAGATACAAATGAGGGATAGGAAGAGATGGGACCAAAGGAGGACAAAATCCACCAAGCCAAACCTTGAATCTATGTCCAGCATCCAGGGCAATATGTGGCAAAGTGTGAACTCCAAAGTGCTTGGGTGGCTCCAGTCCTATGACACTGCCATTGGTTGGAGCTCTCATGGCTTCTTTCTTGGACTGGCTTTGCTCACTCCTTGAGGTTTTCTCCAGATGACCCATGTTCCTGACTTTTCTAATCTTCTGGGGTCTCCACAGCATTTTCACCTTCACACTCATAGCTTCACACAATGCCCTCTTGGGAGCACAGTACCTCACCCCCAGGCCTTCTGGAATCTGGATGGAAGCCTTTCTGACTCACAACTCTTGCATTCACCATGTGCCCAAAACCAGCTGGGTCAGTAGACAGGCTTCTTTCTCTCCTAGCTATAGTGGTTGAGTGTCTAGATTGCTGAGCACTATGAACCCAATCCAGAGGAAAAAATTCCCTAGGCCTTAGTCATTCTTGAACATGGTGCCCTGAGGCTATCTTCTCAAAAATAAGTGTTTCTCCTTTGCAATTTTGATTCTGAAAAAGATGTAGCCCTGCTAGCTTTTGTGAGACCCTCAGTGAAGGACCCTAGTTAGCAAGACAGACTCCATATTGCTGCTGAATGACCCACCTGCCTGCCCTTTAGATGAACTCAAAAGGAGGAAGCTTAGAAACCTCCTCCC